CAGACATCATCGCGAAAATAGTCAAAACGGATTCAGGGGACCTCAAAACGTAAAAATCCGTCGAAAACTCGAGGTCGAAAAAAATCATGATTCCTATACTTTCCTTATATCTGTATACAGATAGGAAAGTAAAAACGAAAGATTTCTTGTGTGACGGGTGATATAGTTTTTATAACGATTTTTGATGACTTTTTAACATGTGAAGTTTTCACAATTTCTTACTTTTTTCAATTTTCTCAATTATTTTCCACCGTTCCGTTCAATATATTCAAGATCTAGTTTAATGCCATTAGAATATTATAAAAGCAAATCCGCAAAAGATGTATTGTCTTATATAAAAATTATATGTTTATACATGTGCTAACGCCTCCTTAATATACGATAATCGTGCTAATTTTGGTATTTTAATGTGTCGTACATATGTGGGCCCAATAACAAATTAAAAAGCTTGGGAATGGTGGCACTGCAGCATTCATAATGGTCGAACTATTGCACTGCTCACAAATGCAATTGAAGTGTGTGAAATTCGTGTATTTGTTCTCAATGTTTTCATTCTAGACAGCATAATAATTAATATATTTTACTGATTTTTTTCACCAAAAGATAAAGGATTGAACTATCATCATACAGTATAAAGGGTTCAGTTAGAAAAAAATTCAATAAAATTTAATAAAATTGTTAAAAATAACCTAACTTTAACTCACAAATTAGTATATTTAAAAATGCATTATTTTTCAATTAAGACGATATGAATGTAGCATAAAACTGGAAAATTAGACATCCTTATTATACGCAGCGATTCTGATTTCATCAATGCACCGTTAGAGTGTAATTCGGTTTCAATCGAGGCATTTTTGCATTGTTATTAGTGTCGGACTCAGCAGTCAATTAATCTACATTTGATTAGAAGCTTTCATTGAGATATTGGATAAATAAAAATAGTAATATTACATTTCTAAATACAGTTTGGAAAAAGAGCTATTGGCACTCATTACTATTACAATCGATATGTGAGAATGTCGAGAATTTGTTTTTAATTTTATGAGGCACAAAGTGAATATATTTTATTATTTTATAAGGGGTTTAAGTCTAAATCAGTGGCGACTCATAGGTCTAGAGGGGGTCTACTTTTGAGAGGCACTAAAACGTCCAAATTAACCTTGTGACAGGCTGAGCACGAAGACAATCTTTTCTTTACGTCTTCTAAAGCAAATATTTTTATAGTGAATTCATTCTTGCTATTCCAGGATGGCATAATGATTTGTCAAGTTAATAAAACATACTTAAACTTACTGTTAGCAACTATTTTACTCATAGATAAATAATATTATTTTATCTATGATGTAACTACTACATATAACCTTAAAGTTACAAGAAATATACGACTTGACGCGAATTTGATGTCAAAATCGATAATAACAATTCTGTTTAACCAAATTCGACAATAAAGTCGATTGTTAAACTCGACACAGCTAGATACTGTAATCGATTCGATATGAAATCGTTAATTTTGACTTTTTGACAATAGAAAGGTTTGTAAATGATTTTGTGGCGTAAAATCTTATGGCAGAAAAGGATTTAACTTCCAGAGTGATGCCATTTATTAGATTCTTAGAACAAAATAGAAACACACTCTTTATTCAGCTGATTACGTTCCCTAAAGCGAGTTTCACTTCTTTCCCTTAGCTTCTTTCAGTGAACAATATTTCGCAATAATTTAATAATATTCTCCTCATAAATTACCTCATTGAGTCAACCTCTAAAGCTCTGAGAGCAGTGCTTGTGCCGCTCATTTAATTTAGAGTTAAGGAAAATCCCGAAAACCCCCACCTATAATCATAAAAAATAGATGATTCACTTCCAGACTAAACAAATACGATTTAACGAAAGAGTAAAACTCGAGTTAATGGATAAGATTTCATTCTTAAATACGATTTAATTTTTGTTCAAGTTATAAAGTCATTTTTAACACTCATTAATCCCTTGTTAGTTAGGTTCAAGACATGTCACCGGATACCGGTCTTCCGTACTTGGGTAACACCATTTACGATAAGTTCTATATTTTGTATTAGATAGCAATTTTTACTTTGACTGATCTTAGTCACAGACTGGGAGCACATTTATCTACATCCTAGTTAACTCTATAAAAGTAAACTCTGATTTCTTTCCTTGTGAAAGTGTAACTTTTTCTGGGTCAATTATTAACTCCTGGAATCTACTCGCCATTGGCAGAGCTATATCTTCTGTCTGGATAATTGTTTAAGCACACTGTTATTGTCTTTATTAAATTATAAATTAACTTTTTTTAATCTGGTTTTAATTGAAATTGGGAGTGTTTTAAATGTTTGAGTGTTTGTTAAATATTTTTTCTCATATTAGTTTTATGCTATTATGTAAAATTAACTAACAATCATAATAGTAGTTTGTACAATAAGAGTTGATGTATTGGCCATATGGACAATCCACTAGAGTTGTACAGTATATTTTTTCTACATAAAAAAATTAATTTAATTGGTTCCCAGCCCAGATTCAATCCCGTGCTTTTCTAGTGGAAGGCACCTCTACTGCTACTTTTAGAATTTTAGTTTTGTTTTAATACTCGTATTTAAATTAGTTTCATATAGTTTAATTAAAATTTAATTTTTTTTCTAATTGTACACCAAATAAAAATAAAAACGCTACTATTTATCGAATCTACACAAAAATAATTCATTTTAATGTATATGTAATCTCAATAACTAAAAATCATGCTGACAATTAGTTTGACAGAACAGAGCTAACGGGGATTCTCTTAGCAGCAAAAGAAATAACCAGATATAATATCACTGGAAGGAACATGCTCATCTATACAGATAACAAACAAGCACTACTCACCCTTAACAGACCACGAATTTATTCAGGGTTAGTACTAGAATGTCACGAAGCTTTGGCCGAAGTATCCATCAACAATGTGGTCACCTTAAGATGGATCAAAGGACACGCCACATCGAAAGGTAACCGTCTTGCCGATTCACTAGCCAAGAAAGCAGCCAACCAAATACTTTTTGGACCTGGCCCTTCCATTGGCCTAACAATATCGGTAGTGACAGACCTAATTAAAGAATATTCCCTTGTGACATTCAAGTAAAGATGGGATGAAACAAGAAACTGCAGAGTTGCCAGGGAGCTCTTAAGTTATCCTGACAACACTGCAGCAAACAAATACTTGACTATGACTCAGGCATTCTTACTGGTCATTGCCAAGTACGGAAGCATCTCCATATCATGGGGCTGTCAGAATCCGCACTCTGCAGAGGGTGTGAACAAGAAGATGAGACCATCGAGCATATCCTTTATGATTGCCCGACGCTCTCATTTATTAGAAGATTTGTGTTCGGCGAGTATCGGCTAACACCCGCCGATATAAGAGAAGCACCTCTTGGCGATGTTGTCAACTACATTAAATCCGTAGGCTGGTTCACGAGCTAGGAGATGCCTATCATCTTAGGAGGATGCACAATGGGCCTAATGAGGCCTAAATGCCGTGGGGGTCACCCACCCTCCAAATACAGATAGTTTGACAGAATAATTGTCACTTATTTAAAATTTTAAAAATAATAGTAGTTGGGTGTCCGAAATATGAACTGTGATTGGTGGATTTTTATTTTTGCAGAATTCTCACTACCTAGAATGGATATGAAATATATTCGTTTAGTTAAATGCAATAGCATACTCTTTCATTTTGTAGTCTGTGAGTAGATTAGCTAATATCCATGTGGGTATAGAAAAACAATTTTTTGTAACCTGCGCTAATAATTATTAATACTATTAATATTTGTTTACTCCCGAAGCTATACCTGTAAGTTCGAAAAGTCACTCAGGTACTAGTCACCTAGTCATCTTTAAACATAGATATAGTTTTTAAGTCAAAGTGTAATTTCATTTAATATTGCCAACCAATATTTTTTTTTATTGGAGTCTGTGGCTTTGACCACTTAGGCCATTAGCCTGGAGTACTAGCACTCTAATACTCCATATTGCAAGAGTGCTAGTACTTTAATACATACAGGCCTTGTTACCGTTTTCCAGCGCCACTTTAGGATCAGTACTGTTAATTGGAACCCAATAGTGAATAGTTGGAATGGAGAATCCTACATATACATCAGAATAATTTTTAAATAAATAACTTAAATCAAAAAATCCCTGCCAACGGTGGGGTTCGAACCGCAGACCCTTGGATTTGCAAGTCTTAAAATATTATTATTAAAACTGGAATCTTACCTTTAATTATACTGAAGAGTTTTTAGGTACTCTGCCACGCAACTAAACTAACTGTTTGGATATTGTATTAATTGCAAGAACACAATAATTTATACATTTATTATTTTTAGAGAAAACCAGTATTTACTTTAATCGTTCCTAGGTGTTTTATTTTTAAAAATATTTATAAAAACAATCCTTTTTTCTTGCCATGTTTTTACAATGAGCCTCATAAAATATTTCTGGGCAAAGGAGTATTAATAAAAATTTTGGGTAAATAAGTTTCAGTCATCTATACTTAGTGTAAAACGTGGGATAAGTCAATAATTTCTATTAGGGTCGCTATTGAACTTGGACTTCATAATATAAATTACAAGAATACCTTTTTTTGGTGGGAATATAAGTCAACTTATAAGACATATACCATAGATTTACTTAGCTTCTAAATTTTTGACTTATACTCCTTTGCCTACCCACGATAAATTTAATATAGTTATTTCTATGAACACTACTACTACAATAATACCATGTGCAACAATTCTTCCCAATTATCCTGAGTCCGGCTAAAAATAATATTTGTCCAACGCCTGCCGATTGCTAGTTGTGAATGCAATTGTTTCTATATTTTGAAGTGGGAGCATTAGAGGAGATACCTGCTGTGAATTTCCCCTGAAACTAAACTCAAGCACCGAAACTCTTAGAAAGGGTTAACTAATTTCGATAAATATTGTTTTTTTTTTAATTTATTTATTTATTTCTAGGACCGTCAGTCAAAACCAGATGGAATAATATGCGCGATACTTACAGAAAATCATTAAGAAAACTCTCGAATTCTAATGTTTCCATTAAAAAATCCAAACAATATAAATATTCCGATAAACTCAGCTTCATGAAAGACTATTTCGAAGAGAAAAAAAATAGATCAAGTATTGGACAACTAGACGAAGCAGATTACAACTTTGACGATTTGCCAGAGATCACTGATGATTGTAACGATGATGAATTCGAATTAAACTTGATGGATTATCAACCAAACGATGATTCTCAATCACAGAAATCGGAAAAATCATCTAGTAAGAGAAAACGCAACAACACAACTACCGAAATGGTTATGAAGTATATTTTGAACAAAGAGGCGAGTCAAACTACAACTTCCATACATCCTGTCGATGCTTTTTTGTCCGGCATAGCTCCTACTTTAAAAACTTTAAATCCGTATTTGTTGAATTTGGCAAAAACAGAAATTTTTGCCACTGTTCAAAAATACGAACTAAAGATGCTACAATACCAGCAGCACGAATTTGATCCGATAGCACTTGATGGTGCAACTGGTGCTTCCTTAGAATCAGAAGAAGCGAATTTCATGAAAACAGAGAAATAATTGTAATTTTAAAACAAAATAAAATAAGACTGAACAAGCGAATACTGTTTTATAGAATTCTTGTATTTTTTTTTATTATTAAAGTATGAAAATTATTGATTTTTGGTTTTATTTAACTCAGTTTCGAAGGAGGAGAATTCACTAAAAATTGTTGAAAGATTGTGTTCAAAGCTTACCAACAAACCCAATAAAAATATACGTTTATTTGTTTTTTATTTTTTCTTTATTTTTTATTTCGACATGCAACATCGAAGTAAAAAATGATTTAAAGTTCGAAATATCTATGGAAAATAATGCCGATATAATTTTGGGACAGTGTATTCCTTGAAAACATTGGAAAGGTTATGCGAAAGGTACATAAGGGATGTGGTGATTACAACAACTTCACTATACCCATATCAACATGTAACATCCCAGGCAGATCTACTGATTCATCCTTTCACCTAGCTGTTGGCCGGATAGAGAGATCCCTTGTCAATAAAGAATATGCCTTGAGTATTTTCATAGACAGATAATACTTTTTCCAAGATAATACACATTTCCTAACCAACAGGAATGTTCCACAAATGGTTAATGGGTGCGTGAATACATAACATGCTGTTACCTTCTTTTTGATTTCTACGATGTAAATTGTACTTAATATGTGATTTAGCTCAAATTGCTGATACTGCATGGATTCATAAATTGACCAGTACAAATAAAATCAGAGTTCGCGGGCCAAAGTCTACTTTACGATAAAATGAAAGACTATAATGCGGTAACAACAAAAATGTTGAGCGCCACCAAGTTTTTGAGTAACTTGGAAAACTTATCTGATTTTATATGCCCTATTTAATTGAGTCAGTCTGTGGTACTTAAAGTTATCTGTTATGAGTTATGAGTGGCAAATAAAAGAAAGTAAGAAAATTTAATAAATTTAATAAAAAAAGTAAAAAGAATGAATTTATACAATAAATTAATAATTAAGATTAAATTTGAAAAATGAATTAAAATTAAAATTAATTGAATGAAGTTGAATAGATAATTAATATGTAGGTATAATAGGTATTTAATTGTCTCAACCATGTGGCATTCTAATAGCGGTACTTCCTTGTATGTCGTGGACAATCCGTCTTTACTTAGAAACTTGGAGCTTGTTTGGAGAAGCTACATAACCTAGACTTAGAGCTTGGAACTCGAAACTTGGAGAAACTACGTAACTTTGAGCTTCTTGGAGAAACTACGTAACTCGGACTTGGAGCGTAAAGCTTGGAGAAACTACGTAACTCGGACTTCTTGGAGCTTAAAGCTTAGAGAAACTACGTAACTCGGACTTCTTGGAGCTTAGAGTTTCTTGGAGCTTAAAGCATGGACTTGGAGTTTCTTGGAACTTAAATCCTGGAGCTTAAAGCTTGGACTTGGAGCCTTTACAGGTTTAGAAATAAAAAGAACCTCAGTAACAGGAGTAGTACATCTACATGCCAGTTTGGAAATCTAATGGACTTATGCATAAACGGGACAAATATTAAAGTTACATCGTCTGAACAGAATATAAAATATCAGGACAAATATCAAAGTTACATTATCTGAACAGAATATAAAATATTTATAAGGCCAAAATAAGTTATAACAATAAGTTTTACATAATCTGAACAAAGTATAAACTATTTTTAAGGCAAAAATAAGTTAAGAGCCATAGATTTCCGTTTAAACTGTAATTCCAGACTGACTTGTAATTCAATTATTTTGTTGCCTCCCCTAAAAAAAGCTTAAAAATAATATTAGGTAGAGTAGCTATAATCTATATATGGGTCATTCTCAGTTGAGACGTAAATCGCTTATTGATAAAACGCGGCACGACAAAAATTTTGAAATTGAAATCAAATTTTACAATGGTTCGATCAAAACAATCATTTCAAACGTGCCTGCAAGACGGTCAGTCAATTTATTGATTTTATCTCGTTTTATAAGATGCCAGGGGAGATACTCATCCAGGGGAGAGACCTAATGCACAGAGTAGAATACTTTGTGATTAGAGAAAGGATTTTAACATTATTTTATGAAAGAAAACAACATTTTATTGAAGTATTAACTTTATTCAGTCATTTTATAATTTTATTTACCAATAATTAATTGATAATAATTAGTCTTTAAAGTTTTCATATCTCCCCTGGATATCGTGTCTTTCCCCTGGCCCTTACAAGACAGGGGAGATATAAACAGGGGAGATACTTTTTAGTAACAAAAATAGAAATAATGACAAATGTATTTATTGAATGAAATTAACCAAGAAAAGTTAGAATCTATACACAACGAGAAGTAAATATACGAATGAATTAAAATTTTTAGATGAATATTTTAAAAATAAAACTTACCAGGGGAGAGACTCCGTTCACTCGTTGTCAACTGTATGCACAGAGTGCCAGTAACGAAATAAATGACTAAATGACTGCGCACCTAGTTCGAGTGGCTCTGATTACAAACTATACACTCAACAACGTTCGCTCAAGGTCTTCAATTCCCGCAAGTCAGTAAACAAATGCCGATTTTACACAAAAATAAGCGTGCCAGGGGACGAGACGCAAAATGTGGGGGACAAACGTAAACGTAATTTTTTTTTAAGAAAAAAAAAATCACGCAATTTTACTTGCTTGATTACGATAATTTATTTAAATTATTTTGTTGAAATGTATAATTTAAATAAGTTATTTGATTTTCAAGTATTTAAAATTACAAATAAATAAACAGAATCGGCCCGGGGACAAGCCAGGGGAGAGATGTTTTCCGACTTTGAGGTGAAATTGTGACTAAATTAAATAAAATTAAGAAATGCATTTGAGTGACCAATTATATGAGCACGAGTTTTAAGAGAAAATAACATTCTTTTTAATAAAATTTTTTAAAAAAGGTGATTTTTTGTTATGGACGTCGAATTTACGGCTTAACTGAGAATGACCCATAAAATAAAATAAAACCGTAATAATAACCGGCACTTGTCAGCATGATGGTAATAAAAAAAAGCAAAAGGCCGATCCATCGGCTTTCCAACTAAATCCAGCAAAGTGTTAAAATATAAGTTAAAAGAAACATTACCTGACAATTATCCCAACGTTAACACACAATAAGCACATACAAAAGACAAGATAATTACGGAAATCTACTCATAGTAGATTATTTGTCGGAACACACTACCACATTGAACTCGATAAACCAAAAGGCCGGTTGAATCAACACCAGTCGGTTTTACCTCAGCGTGGTTGTCGAAAGAAACACTAGGCTTGTATGCAAACCGTACTTTGCAAATCTCGAGAAGGAAGCGAACGGTTGTCGTTTAAATTATGTTACGAGGGCTTATGGAGAAGTTGTTTTTTTTTTGTGTCATCGGCTTTAACTGCTAAGGTTATCACGCCTCGTGTTCTGTGTAGGCTTTGTTACTGTTTCCCAGCGCTGTTAATTAGAACCCAACAGTGGTTAAAAATAAATTTGAAATTTCTCTTAAAGCGAACGGTAAACATAAGTATAGATGTGCATATAAGAGGCTTGGTTCCGAACGGATGTTCATAGGGATTACTTTTACTGTGGAACATGGTCCTCGATAACCTCATCAGTCGCCTCAATGAAGGAAATCTCTACACAATAGTTGCCGCGTTTGAGAATCCACATCGGATGCATTTTTTACATCTCGAGCGTTTTTTTATCCACATCGGACACATCTGTCCCATTATATTTACGTATACTGATTCACGTGATCAAAGATTTACTACATCTCAGATGCATCCAATGTGGATCCTCAAACGTGGCAAGTGTATGCAGATGACCTGGTCATTCTGCAAACAGGAAATATTGGGAACATACTCTGCGAAAGTATCTATCAAAATTATAGAACAGTCAAGTGGTAAAAACCATTTATTGTCTACCATAGTATACGGAAATGGTCCTTTTCAAAATAAGGATGAAAACGGAACTGAAGCCTCCGTCAGACTCCTAAACACAAAACTAAACTTTGCAACAGAGGTGAAGTACCTGTGTCACCTTTGACAGCAAGTTAATATAGAACTTACACCTAGAAAACAGAGTCAAAAAAGTATACAGAATAATGACTCGAGTGTGAGCGCACTTAGGCCTCTTCCCCAGAGTCGTCACATGAATTTACACGGCTATCATAAGACCTATGCTAACATACGGTTCAGTTGTCTGGGTACCGAAAAGTAAAAAACCGACAGCTATCCGCCAAATAGAACAAATTCAATGAACAGCATATCTCAATGTAACAAGCCCCATGAAAACTACACCAATCAAAGGCATGGAAGTTATTCGCTTGATATTTAGATCAAGTAGGTTGTTCTGTTGACAAGGACACGTTTGGAATAGAACCCGATGTATATAGGATCTGATGAGGGACCCATCGAACTGTGATCAAAAATTAAAATCTAGGATTCCAAAAATCGCGTCATTAATTTTAGTTTTTAGCAATTTTTTTAGAGCTAATTCATTTAATGTTTTAAATACATTTTTTTAATAGGGTAAGGATTTAAAATATTTGAGTATAAGATTTTCAGCAAGACTCACAGACTATTAAAATAAAATATACTTTATTTTATATTTATCATATTAAGATCGTATCAAGTCAAATAAAATCATACGGGACAAGCTCTAACCTTTACCTAAAACAAGGATTGTATTCAGCGGTTGTCGGCCGTTGTGCAAAATGTAATATACATCCACCATAAAACGTAGAATAATGTTCTGTCAAAACTGTAACGTTTAATTTATTTATGGTTTATTTATTTAAAACACTTTATTTACAATTTATATATAACTAATTAATTTATATAATTCTTAGGCATTAACTTACAATTATAATTTATTTAATACAATTTGTCTTTACTGTCCAACTCTTAAATTGAATCTTATCTTCTATCGGCGAACTCACGCTATTTATACAAAGCCAGCTCTGTACCAGTAGTTTTTAGGAGATCTTGAATATCCGGGAATTCCCTCTCTATGACTCAACGGCCACGTACCACTTTTTCTGGTAGCTTCTCGAAGCAGTGCGTTTGTTTCTGTTTGGCTTAGGCATTCTTACAACAAAACATTTATGTTCCAACATGTGCCAAAAAAGTATCCCCGTAATAAACCTTAAAATAAAAATAATTTGGTTAAATATTATACCTTCCGAGTTTTTTAAACATTATTACTATAAAACGCAACTCAATAAATGTTTGATATATATGTTTTAATAATAAATACCTCTGGGAATATTAACCATTTTGCTACTACACGTATTTACTTCTTGTAACTGAAGCACACACTATATAAAATAATCAAAAATACGTTCCCTTGTGGAATTCAAGGAAATGTTGGAAAAAACAAGAAGCTGCAGACTTTTCAGGCTGCTTTTAAGTTATCCTGACAACACAGCAAACAAATACTTGACTATGACTAGACCGAATCTGCGCTTGATCACAGGCTTTCTGACTGGTCATTGCCAATGGTTCGAACAATTCTCTATATGATTTCCTGTAAGGTAATTTACTGATAATTCTTAATACCTTTTTTGTGTAATAAACAACCCTACCAACATTCATAAGGAAAAAACAATGGGTTGAAGGTGAAATATAACTATTCTGTCAATTTCTCACATCAACACTCTACTAGCATACATTTTTAAACATCTCGGTTATTTCTCTTTTATGTTTAGGTATTTTCTTTTTATGAATAACTGTTTACCCTTTAGATCTAAAATCTGTATACGCCTCTGTCTGCCTTTTAAAAAATTGAGAATAGATTCCAAACTCAAGAAACTCTCTTTCAACCCGCTTTAGGGGATCACTCGTAAGGGGGTGAAGGGTGAATTATAAGAAGTGTATTAATATATTCTATGGTATATCGTTTGGCTCCATACAAACCTGCTTTGAATTTGATTCGTCTTTAAGTGTCTAACCCAGGGGGTTCGAAACTTTTCCGAGTTACGGCGCCTCTTTCAATTAAAATTTTTCCTTGGCACGCTATGCTAAATAAAAACATGACTAATCGTAAGTAAAACATAAAAATAAATAAAACTAATGAGCATTCAAATCACTGCACATATCCTTAAATCTTGGAATTAAAATGTTTTAAATAAATAAACTAGTTTTAAATTAAACAAACGTTAAATTTCATAAGCAATATTATCGTGAATTTTCTTCACACGGCAGCAGATTCCAAATGTAAGAATTAATAAGAATTTGTCATTGGGTTGGGTATATTATTACTTAATTTAAAATGCATACATGATATTTATGATTAATGATTAACCTACACATTGTTTTGTTTCGGAAACTTTTTAAAAGTATTATTTATTATTCAAACATTGTTGTAATATATTTGTTTTGAAAAGACAAACTAATAAAGTAATACAAAAACTTTTACTTTTATTGTACATGTTCTACAGATTTAAATGATGCGATAAAAGTTTATAGAGAAACTGGTGAAACTAAAGATGATGCAGTGGCGTGCCTGACGGGCCCGTAGTGCGGGGGGGGGGCGGGCTATTTGGGGCCCCCAAATATATCAAACATTTATTGAGTTGTATTTTATAGTAATAATGTTTAAAAAACTCGGAAGGTACCATATTTTACTAAATTATTTTTATTTTAAGGTTTATTGTGGGGATACTTTTTTGGCACATGTTGGAACATAAATGTTTTGTTGTAAGAACGCCTAAGCCAAACAGAAACAAACGCACTGCTTCGAGAAGCTACCAGAAAAAGTTGTACGTGGCCGTTGAGTCATAGAGAGGGAATTCCCGGACATTTAAGATCGCCTAAAAACTACTGGTACAAAGCTGGCTTTGTATAAATAGCGAGAGTTTGTCGATAGAAGATAAAATTCAATTTAAGAGTTGGACAGTAAAGACAAATTGTATTAAATAAATTATAATTGTAAGTTAATGCCTAAGAATTATATATTAATTAGTTATATATAAATTGTAAATAAAGTGTTTTAAATAAATAAACCATAAATAAATTAAACGTTATAGTTTTGACAGAACATTATTCTACGTTTTGTGGTGGATGTATATTACATGTTGCACAACGGCCGACAACCGCTGAATACAACCCTTGTTTTAGGTAAAGGTTAGAGCTTCTCCCGTATGATTTTATTTGACCTGATACGATCTTAATATGATAAATATAAAATAAAGTATATTTTATTTTAATAGTCTGTGAGTCTTGCTGAAAATCTTAGAACTTAAATATTTTAAATCCTTACCCTATTAAAAAAGTATTTAAAACATTAAATGAATTAGCTCTAAGGCCTAGTGTTAAAAAAATGCTAATAGATATCACTTTATCCATAACTGGTATCTATAAATCAATTCTAAACTGGCAAGTGTCTGATAACATTTCGATGTCAGACCACCGCTGGTTAACATTAAAAATAAACTTGATGTTGCCGACCTCCATGCTACCTCGGAACCCTAGGAAGACGGACAGGGCAATCTATGCCCACCTTCTCCAAGAGGCTCTGAGAGAAATGGAGGCCGAAACACCAAACAATAACACTGCTTTGGAAAAGTACACGAACAATATCCAAAGCACAATAAACAATGTCTATAAGAAATTCTGTCCTCTGAGGCTGGTCCAACACGATCAGACGAGTTAGATCAACTCAGGAAGATGGCTAGGAAATCTTTTAATAAGGCAAGAACCACAAAACTCAAAGAGGACTGGGTACTTACAAATCTCACCTCAGAGAATACAAAAAAATCGTCAGACGAAAACAGAGAGATGAATTGAGATCCTACTGCGAAGAAATCGAAGATTTCCCGCAGGCAGCGAGGCTTGAAAAAGCTCTCTCAAAAGATCCACACTGAAGCAACGGTGCGCTAATCAAAGAGGATGGCACGAAAACTGCCAACCTCGAAGCTAGCATCAAACTTCTGCTGTCAACACACTTCCCTAACTCGGTCATCATAGACGTGGCGGACTGGGCAGAGGAAGAATAGAATCCATCTGTCTATGATTGGCAAACTGCCAAACACATTGTAGACGATGAAAAAATTAGATGGGCAATATCCAGCTTCTCTCCATTTAAATCGCCAGGACCTGACGGTATCTATCCAGCTTTACTTCAGTAGGGTCTGGAAGAACTCACACCGCACCTGGTGGGTATATTTAGATCCACGTTGGCTCTGAGGTACATCCCCCAAAAATGGAAAGAGGTAAAAGTGATATTTATACCCAAAACTGGAACGATGGATTACACTGTTCCAAAAACATACCGACCAATTAGTCTGATTTCGTTTTCCGTGAAGACATTGGAAAGGCTATGCGAAAGGTACATAAGGGATGCGGTGATTACAACAACACCACTACACCCAAACCAACATGCATACACTCCAGGCAGATCTACTGATTTAACCCTTCATCTAGTTGCTGGCCGGATAGAAAGATCCCTGGACAATAAGGAGTCCGCCTTGGGTGTTCATAGACATAGAAGGTGCTTTTGATAAAACCACTTTCCCAAAGATAATACACTCACTAACCAACAGGAATGTTTCACAAATCGTTAGTGGGTGGATACATAACATGCTCTCGAAGCGAGCAGTAAACTTAAGTGTAGAAGATGTGAATATAAGAGGCTTGGTTGCAAGGGGATGTCCACAGTGGCGTGCCTGACGGGCCCGTAGTGCGGGGGGGCTATTTGGGGCCCCCAAATTAAACAAGGTATTCTTCTCACAAAATATTTTTCCACTTATGTTAGTTCAAGTGTCAGTCAGTTAAATGAGGCACCTAGATGCAAAATAAGATATATCCGTCATAAGTGAAACTGAGAAAATCTGAAAAACTGTAATTTTTACAATTTTCGGTTTCTCTATGAATTTTCAATATTGGAGGTTAGAATATGATTTTTCTTAATATTTTCTTGATTTTTATCAAAGTTTTAAGATATTAACCCGAAAAATAAAATGAAAATATCTGGTTTTGAAAGTTGGAATGAAAAATATTTTATTTTGAATTTCACTTGACTTATAGTTTCTTATTATAGCGTTATAATTAAAGAGACCTGTCGTAATAGGCACTTTGCAATAATAAGTGAAGGCCATTAAGAACTTTATTAACAAATTAATTATAAATTAAATAAGAAAAATAGTTATACAAATTTATTTTTGTCTTCTTGAGGATCACAAAGGAGCTCTTCTTGAACTTCTTCTGCTTTTTCATTGCCACGGTTTTCATCACTTAACACATCTCGATAATACTGAAGTCCTAAATTTTCAGCTTCCTCTTTCCAAGTAGAACCAAAATGGTCTGTCAAGAGCTCATCCACGTTTTTGATCTTTTCCGGCTTGATTTTGCGATGACCAGTACTCATTTCATCAGGATTGATGTCATAGAATGTTTTTCGTTTTTTACAGATACCTTGAGCGGTGCCTATAAGATGCTTGTAAAATGGCTCGCCCTGAACAATGACATTGCCTTTAGTATTTTTCGTGATCATTACACGTTTGCAAGAATTAATTTTAAAGGGTAACAATGAAGTAGCACGCACATGTGCTTTGACTTGTTCTTGCCAGTCGTAGACTTTCCAATTAACGCCAAGTACTTGAACACTTCCGGATTCGCTAAATAAATCCAAGTATTCTTGAGGATTTATTATGGTATCCTTTTTGCGAATTTTTTTTCTCGATATTAGCGAATACCCTATTCGGTGGAATATATGAATGACCAGTGACTGGAAATACCAATTCAACAGATTTTACGTGCGTTAGTGCACGCTGGAGCCACGTACATACCATTGTGATCATTGTAAGGTTTTTATTTTGCCACCCACATCCATCGGAGCAAAGCCTTAGATCTGTTCGTGACCGCAAACTGGATATAACTGCTTATAATTGTTTCCAAATATTCCGCTTGAAGACCATATGGACAATATCTGATTTTGCACGTTACTGCACAGAAAAAAAGGTGTACTATATTCAAGATGAATGGTCTTATTTCAATGCTTTGTTGTGTTTGTATATCCGCAAGTAAAACTTGTCTCGATTTGAAATTCTAGTAATACTTGTTCAACAATAGCTAATAAGCCTTACTTCAAGATTAGAATCAACTTGCCCTAACCAAAATACCTCTAATTAAATCAAGAGTGTCTATTGCTCAATTGCAGTTTTATGTACATCTTAAATGAAATAATCTTACACTTGTTTTAAATATATTTATTTATTTATTTTGAATAATACCTTGTTCTTAAATCCAATGCAACTAAATTTGTTACAACAATAATATAATCTTTGACACAAATATATTGATTTTGTTTGAATTATAGGATAGTTTCATTGAAGAAATTAATAATCTTGAAATAAGATCAGGCTGTTCTTGCTGTTCTCACTGGTACCTATCCACCGAAAAACATTTTTCAAAATTGTTTTTAGTTAATATACCAAATTCCTCTGTCCTCTGAGGTGTCCCACCTATAATTAAAAAAAATAATTTTGTAACTTCAAAGCCTAAATGGAACATAAAAGTTTGTCCTACTAAGATAAGAGGTCGTATCTACAAAATGAATATTTTTAGTAAATGTGGTGTTACGGGTAGCAGGTGCTGTACGGTTTTAATATTAAAGTTAGCTTACCTTAAATAAATAATACAAATACACTTAGTAATGATTCCTGTATTCATATAAACATATAATCATATACATTCAAAAATCAATTGTACTTTAAACTAAGTCTTGTCCACACGGTTCAGCATCTAAAAACAAAATATAGATTATTAACAAACGAATTAATAATAAAATAAAGTGATTTAATATGTAATTAAATTCGGTTTAAAAGTAAACATTAAACATAACCTTTATAGAATGTCAAAAGGTACTCCAATGACATTAATTATTGTCACCAAATACTTCTAAGCTAAGATTAAGAAAATTAGACAGGTCTATAATTTATTTAACGAGTGTTAAATATTTCTATTTATTTTGGATTGTTGGTCTAAAAAGAAAAACCTCTACATATTGGCCACACATCATCAACGGTAAGTCGAGTCTTCTGGAAACTAGAACCTGAAACTAAAATAAAATATACATAAAAAAAATACTTACCCTATTTTCATTTTAGGCCATTACCCTTTAGATTACCAACCGTTGAGTATTTTCATGCTGTGTTGGGACATCCACATTGTATTCAAGTATTGCTTCTTAGATTCAAAGCTAAGCTTGACTGTATATAGTTTGCATGACTTAGTATATCATAGTAGTTTAGTAGTTTGAAGGCTTTCACAGGACACTGCTTATAGGACATTGGCATGCTTACACCTACCATTAATTGCTTTTCCAATGTATCACCGGATGCACAAAGTAAGAACTTTCCTTTATATGTTGAATGGACACCCAGGGACCACCTACTTATAGAACATAACTACTATAAAATCTTAATAATATTTCATACTTAATTTAGAATGACCTTTTTCTTTTCTGTGAACGATTGGTACAATTCGGCTTTACTTTTATAAATTTATTGATCATATATATAATAAGTAAATGGACTACTGCATTCATATGATGATTAATCAATAAATGTTTAAAAAGTGTCTTTCTCCTATTATACTTACAATCTTCTAACCCCCCCCCCCCCCCCCCTAACACTCCGGGTCAGAGTAGTGACAAATACTTTTCTTTTTATTTAGCTGATGGGCATAAAAATACATAAACTAGTTTAGTTAGGGATTCTTACATATAACAGTGGGTAGGTAGATAAGTACGTCCTTTTAGACTTCGCAAATAAGTTTTGCATATTTTACTAAACTTTTTTTATAATTATAGTAAATATTTTTTTATGCAAATAGACCTTTATTATTTTGTGTAATAAAATAAAATGTAAGCTTATTAAAATTGTAAGAATCTTGAAATCAAAATTTTCGTAGATACGACCTCTTGTCTTAGCAAGGCAGAAGTCGTCTTTCCAAAAAGTCGTCATCCAGCATCATACATTTTTTTGCTTCTTATCCAGTTTGTTTCGTGTTCTTATGATTATAAATTTATTTATATATAATAATACCTAACAAGAAGTGAACTTACATTTAAATATTGGTATCAGGTCACTGAAGCCCCATTCATTTAACAAATGTTCATTTCAATTTAATTTATTCATACACTTATTAATTGAATCACAAAGAATTTCTAAAAAAAAATAAAACGAAACCCTAACGATATGATGCAAACATGTTAGAAAATTGACAAAAGGATGAACACGTGCTAATGCCAATTTGCCATATTCTCTATAAATGCATTGTGTCTCTGACTTCCGAATAATAAGTAATCACATCTCAACATGTGCCAGTCATATATCTACCGTATCAGTGCAGTGGTTGCATTTTAACATAAGTTTCAGCTGGCAACACCGTGCAGTGAATTTGTAGTAGCTAATCTTTTGTGAAGTACAGAGGTTTTTGATTTGAATTGTTTAATTCTTGTTCTGAAATGTAAATGCTTTGAATCGAATCCTTTTATAACATTGAATCAAGTACGCAATAGTCGGTTTTAAGAGCATACCATATTTAAAATAAACGTAAGAACTTTCTTAAACAATTCTATATTTATTCTCAGATTAATTATTATAACTCTTAAAATACAAGATTGTGCCTATACTTCACTCAACATTTATTTTCTTATTGTATCGAGAAATATTATTTGAAGCAAACTCTGCTTTATTTCAAACAAATGTAATCTTCCAAGTGTAAAGCTTTTCTTGAATGTAGATGATAATTTTTTTCTGTGTGGATATGTCTGCATTTTCATGTTTTATATGTTTTGAACTTCGGCCAAATATTTGATAAAGTTTAAGTATGGAAAATATCTTTACTTTGAATGTTGGTTAGACTTGCAATCGATGCAGTATTGTCACATTTAAAATATCGATACATTTCCCGCAAAAATTTGAAAATTGGAAATATCTGGTTTTGCATCTAGCTGCCTCAAATAAAATAACAGATTTATTTAGTCATTCTAGTCGATACAAAAAATTCTAGTGTACCACCAAAGAAAATGGTTCTTGTATTTTTTTTCTATGATTTCTTAGTTTTGCTTGAACCAGAGTATGTTTATTATTTTTCATACTTGGTTAATTTTTGATTTTTGTTTATTAGTTTATTTATCTCAAAATGTATATCATTCGTTTCCTGTTTTTTGTTATAGTTTTTTATCTGTATTTTTGCTAGAGTAGTACTTATTTTTTATTTTATGTAATGGTCTTTAATAAATATTTTTTGTTTACTTATTGTTTTAGAGAAAGTCTTGCGGGGAGCCAAGAAACTCGGCACGTCCCTGTAAAGATTGATTAAGATTAAAGCAAATACCTATGGCATTTTATAATGATCACACAGCACGTGTACTAGTAATTTGTGATTATGAGACAATACACGATTAAAGTGAGATTTTATTTTTGAAATTTTGTACTAACCATCTAATTTGCCAAACTAACAATATTGAAAATGAAGTTATTATCAATAAAATATGGGAAAATGAAGTGAGAATAATGATAATGAAGACTGAAACAATAATTCAATGAGAAAAAGGAGCACATACATAAAGGAAATAGCTAAGAAATTAGCAGAGAGAGGAAAGAAGCTATAGGAAATAAGATATGAAGAACTAGATGAAGAGATGGTATTTTACACATCAGAATAAAATAGATTATGAATGGAGAAAGATTTCAGCACAAAACTAAATTAATCCAATTTTTGATGGATGTAAAAAATAATATTTGGAATAAATGGTCACAAAAATGGAACACAAAAAGATGAAACAAAAGTTCCTTCTATTTCAAAGTCGTATATAATCTACTCAAACTACCTTGGCACTATGATTTTACCTAAACAAATAGAAGACATTTAACGACTATTATCAGAATGAGAACTGAGCACTGTTTAACCCCATACCACCTGCACTGTAAAGGAGTGAGAGACAATCCTTACTGCTAATGTGAAGATGTGGGATTCATAAGCCACATTACACTGAAATGTCCTATAAATCAATAAATCCAACCGTGTTTCGATTTACATATTATATAAAAAGCTATCAGATACAAATTTACCTACTCCGTTCGATATCTGTTTTGTTTTAGGTAATCTCAGTGAATCAAGATTTACAACTCTACCTCAATTTTTAAGCAATAACATATTAAATTTATATACTTCCATTTTTTTTAGTCCTGGGTTCCCAATAGCTAGCATTTCTGGTGTGTGCAAAGCTTGACGGCTGCCCACAAGCGAGAAAAGTTAGTTGTATTGTCTTGTCTAAAACTACTTCCTAAACCCTCCTGTTTTAATATAAAAAAGTAATAATAGATGGAATTCTCATTGCCAAGAGCAAGACTTAAGTATTCCCTTGAGTGCAAGACTAGGTGATTTGTCCTGAAGGACATTGCCCAAAAAGAAATTGAAGAAGAAGAAAATGAAGATTTTATGATAGACGTTATACTTTAATGTTGATAGTTGTATAGATGAATTGTAAAAGTTGAGTTGAAAATAAATTGAGTTACCAAAAACAGTGTAACGTTGGTGACAGCGGTGGGATACAAAATAAAAGTATTATATTCATGGTAAATACTAGAACCACTGCGTACGAAACAGAAATGGATAATTCAGCCCCCCCCCCTCCGTATGGGTTTCAAAGATGGAAGAAAAAAGGGAAAGGCGAAAAAAAGAGA